GCTGAGCAGGACTGATTATTTTGGCCACTACTCCAGAGGCATAAAGCTTGCATGAGGGCAAAGAGCAGAGAGAAGGGTTCAGAGCCTTGTTTTCATTCAATTCTATTCCTGGTGCAACACCACTGACTGCACCTGGAATTTAGGATATGGCTGGTGCTTCCCTCTGGCTCAGCTCCACCAGCAGTGGACAGTCATGCCAGAGCCTCTGTCGGTACATAAATTACACCTGACCAAATCTAATCCCTTCCCTCTGTCCCAAGAATTAACAAGCCAATGCTCCTTAGCCAGGTTATTCCCCAGAAACTCTCTCCCTCTCCAAAATGCCAAGAATGGATGCAGATATGGCTGCAAGCACTGCTCAGCTGTCTGGAACACCAAGGAGCAGACAGTGAGCATGAGGAGGAACCACCTTCCCATCTCACACATGGAATCATTAAGGTTGGAAAAGACCTTTAAGATCACCAAGTCCAACCATCACCTCAGCACCACCACCATGGTCACCACCAACCATAATCCCAAGTGCCACATCCATATGTTTTTTGAACACTTCCAGGGATGGTGACTCCATCACTGCCCTGGAAGTCTGTTCCAATTATTAACAACCCTTTCCATTAAAAAAAATTCCCTAATATCTAATATAAACTTCTCCTGATGCAACTGGAGGCTTTTCATCTTGTCCCTTGCATCCTGGGAACAAAGCCTGCCCTCACCTGGCTGCACCTCCTGTCAGGGAGACAGAGAAAGCCAGAAAGTCCCTCCTGAGACTCCTTTTCTCCAGGCTGAGCCCCCCCAGTCCCTCAGAAGCTCTCCAGACCCTTCTCCTTGTGCTCTATTCCTTTTCCTGGACACACTCTAGCACCTCAATGTCCTTCTTGTCACGAGGGCCCAGAACCGCCCCCAGGAGTTGAGGTGCCTCACCAGTGCCCAGCAGAGGATGATGGTCACTGCTCTGGTCCTGTGGCCACACTGGGTGACACAAGCCAGGTGCTATTTGCCTTATGGGCCACCTGGGCTCATGTTCAGCTGCTGCCAACCAGCACCTCCATGTTCTTTCCCAAACTTTCAAGTCACTCTTCGCTAAGATTGGAGAGTTGGTTTTGCCTTCATAATGCTGGAAGAGAACATCCTCCCATCACTGCACCACACCAGTGTGTTCTGTGCTGGAATTAAGTTCAGATTTAACTAGCTGCAAGATTAAACACCTTGAAAAGTCCTGTTTGAAGCAGTGCATGAGACACAGGCCAGGGAGCAGGAGAACTTGGCAGGAGGTTGGGAGGAGGAGCGGGGAGAGGGGAATTACCTTACTTACTCTGTAGTTACGGTATGGGTCAGGGTCTGTGTACTGAACCCTGAAATTCTCATACTGCCCACCACGCCAGAATCGCTCTATGTCATAGTCATAATAGGGATCTGAATAGGGATCAAGCCTACAATGAAAAACAGGCAAGGTTAGAAAGGGAAATGCCACCTTGGCACCACAAACACTAAGCATTCTAGGTCAGGCCTTAAGCACCATGACACGAAAACACGTGTTCAACCACTAGGACACACCAAGAAGTTTGGTTCCTACACATCCCAACCAAACAGGCTTTGAGTGAGGCTTATCAGAGAAAAGCATGAACTGTTCTTGATAAACACTAAAAAAAGACCCAAATTCAGGCTCCATATCAATGAGGGAAACCACAGGAACTGCTTTTATAGCCACCGCTGCAAAGGGACCAGAACTGGTTTGCCTCATTGATTCAGAGCTCGGTTTGCCCTCCATGCACCCACAGCTAATCCCAAACACCTCAACTCAGGAGTGGGATGGATGATGAGCTCCTAATCCCTGCCACTGGAGTGCTGGGTGCATCCCACTGCATCCCAGGCATGAGCTGTTGCTGAACTTTCCACTGGGAGAAGCTGAGCTTTGGGCCAGGCCAGCAACACTCTGCCCCTACACCTGGAATTAGGCCATGGA